GTCTGTCTGTCTGTCTGTCTGTCTGTCTGTCTGTCTGTCTGTCTGTCTGTCTGTCTGTCTCTCCGTCTGTCCGTCTGTCTTTTGTCTGTCTCTCTGTTTCTCTGTTACGAGCTTTCTTCCTGGGAACTTCCCATTTGGAGTTCATATGGAACATAAAAAAACATAAACAAAGGTGAGGAATAAGTCAGCGAGAGATATGAAGGAAACGTTTGCCGTGGCGTTCCTGTGTGCACGAGCAGGAGTTTGTGACGGTAGTCGCGGACTAGTTGCCTCGTTATTGCAGTTCTAGCGTTCTTCATACAGCTCGACGATATGCGATTATTATTTCTGGCATAAATCTACTGCCACTTTTTTGTTCTTGTATTCCCTAGTCGCTTCATTCTGCTACATTAATTCGTGCGTGACGTCGCTCTCGCTGCGCAGCGACAGTTTCCATTCAACTGCACCACCCCCATTCTTACGAATTCACCTTGCATCACCCTTACAATACCGCCACAAGGCTTGTTGGCATTGCTTTTTGACTGAAAGGTTCAGTCCGAGAGAATCGTGTTATGTAGGAAGTCCTAAATGTTTCTTTACACGTCCATTCAGATGCGGGTCTGTTTTTGAAAAATTGTGGACTCTGGTTTGAAGAACAAGTGCACTGCCAGTGGCTCAACTTCCGTGCTGAGAACTGTCCCCATATCTACGCGTTTTCTGACCGATTCTTAGAGTTGCATAGAGTTTCCACTTATCCGCTTCTCTCATCGCCCGGACTGACTTTAAACGCTTACGGCGACCTGCACTTCAAAATATATGGCTGCGTACTAGCCTAAACGTACAACCATTTCCGTCCTACACAAGAAAAATCGAAGCGCTGGCATGGGATTATCCAAGGCGATAGGGGCTTATCGTATTGACACGTGTCTTCTTAGAGCACAGATAATGTTAGGTTTCCAAAGCTGACTTTCCTTATCGGCAATGACGCACTTTTCGCATTTTTTGACACAACGCCTATCCTGTAAGGAAATGCCAGTGAAGAAATAGAACGCTCACCTGGTTGCTAGACGGATATGGAAGAATATTGAATCGGAAAAGGTTCGACTGTACATAAGCCAACATCTGTAATGGTGTAGATCAAAGAGTTCTTGATACTACTGAACCTGCTCCAATCTTCGGAAAGCCTATAGAGCCCTACTCAACAGTTTTTGGGAAATATCAACCTCATATAGTGTCTCGGACTGTTAAATTCAACATCATTCTCATAAGATACGCATTTGACAGACCTCTTGAAGCCCATGTTCGGTTGTGGATTCTGTTGACTCAAACACGAGCATGACATCATTCCATGAGGTTGAATAGTTACAAGCGCATGGTGTACCCTCAACGTTCGGGATGCTCGTTGGCATGGCAGGTCCAGATGAAGAAGAAGTTTCCGGAGCCTCCGTGGGTGCTCTCGTACTCAGAGGAGCCTCTGTGGTTGTTGGACGCTGCGTCGTAGCCGCACGTGCAGTTGCCTTTCTCGTTGTCGCCTGCGCTTGTGTAAAAAACTTTGTGGACTGGTTGTTATCCCAGCCCGGATCGCCTAAAAGCATGGGTTCATGGGATAGCAGGTCTTTCGAAGGTTCCGTCAGGGAACTTACAATCGTGGAATATCGCGCAGCTCCTTTCCGCGAGGCAGTATGCCAAATGAGGCGATTGGTTCAGTTTATCTATACAAACAGGGAAAACCGATTCCGCTGGGAAATGTCTCCATGGGTGTGCATCTCCGCCAAGAGCCACCACTGTGATGGCGATCCGCAAGTATTTCCTGGCGTAGTCGCCTGCCTCGGAAATCTCGTTTTCGTCCCTAAATAGTTCCTAAATTTGCCTTTCATTGCTTCAAAAGTTAAATTCCGCCCACTCTGATCTGGAGAAAAGGATCAGCGATTCTTCGTGCTCATACTTTGCTGCTACTCGTTCAAGAACCCTACAAGAACTTTTTTTTAAAAAAATAAAGACAGTGTGATCAATTCCTTCATACTTTTTGAGGCTTTCCTTCCTGAAACCCTCCTTCTCAGCGAGCTTCTCAATAGCATCCAGTTCCTCACAAGCATCTTTGTGACAGCTAACAAATCTGCCTTCAGAATGGCCTTGATAAGGAAAACCGGTTAGCAAGAANGATCAGCGATTCTTCGTGCTCATACTTTGCTGCTACTCGTTCAAGAACCCTACAAGAACTTTTTTTTAAAAAAATAAAGACAGTGTGATTAATTCCTATATACTTTTTGAGGCTTTCCTTCCTGAAACCCTCTTTCTCAGCGAGCTTCTCAATAGCATCCAATTCCTCACAAGCATCTTTGTGACAGCTAACAAATCTGCCTTCAGAATGGCCTTGATAAGGAAAACCGGTTAGCAAGAACGCAACTTTGAAGTCGTGTTCAATGTCCATTCTGGGAGTGAGTCGATCGCGTACGAATGTCATTTCCTGAAATAAAGAGTCGGTAATGATCACATACATTTTATGCCAAGCGATTTTGCATAACCTTTTGAAAATCATGGAATGAGCCTATGTGAGGTGTTCCATCGATGATGACCACAGCAGCGCCATTACATCGAAAGTACGGTGGGAGGACATCACATCCCGACTTTGAACCTAGGTTTAAGGTAAGAAGTATTAAAACATAGAATATGTTTCTGCTTATGGAGCCATGAGCAGCTCCTCGATAAACCGCGCCATTACTATTGAAACCGTTCTACTGAAACAACCCCGAACAAGGTCGACAAATACCTTGATGTCTAAGGTCTCGGCGATTCCGCTGCGAATTTCATTGCTACAAGGCTAACCGGACAACCCTCGGAGTAATCTGTTCAGAAGGGCTTTATTTATTTGTGAACCAGGCAGTCGCCAAAAACAAGGATAACGGGGTTAGAACAACAGGTGGGGAAACCGCCAACTGGTATCAGTATATAAAATGAATAAAAAGAAAAATAGTCGATAGCAAAACAAAATGTTGATAACGTGCAGTGCAGGTACAACAGAGCAAGTCAAAGAAGGTGGTACCTGAGAGGATACCGCTAATAATAACACCAAAAAGACTGAAAAAAGGACCACAAAAGGTGTTACAAGGGCTTCAAAACTGGCTTGGCAGACTACAACTGTCAAGAGTGACCGATCTTGTTAAGGCTGCACCATTCACAATGGAGTGTTAGGGCGCCGACGAATAGTGCGCTCATGTGGGAGGCACCTGGACGATTACAGACACTTATTCTTGGACAGCCCCGTTTCTTTCTTTTTTACAGGCCTTCGATCCTAAAAATACGCCGGCTTCTTTATTAGCCATTTTTGCACTATTCTGCACCACAACTATCATTGTTTCACTTGAGCTAGTTACCTCAAAACTATCATGGGCTTTGCCTTTATAACTCAATGTGACCAGACTCGAATGCATCCATTCGGCTGTCTTTCTATAAAAGACAGCCGAATGGATGCATTCGAGTCTGGTCACATTGAGTCAGTTTCTTTCTTCTTTCTACTGTTTAGCAGAAAACCCGAGAAAATAAAGGAACAAATGACGTGTGCCCATTAAGAAGAATAGGCCATGTATAGTCCTTCATTGTCACAACTTATTTCGATCACTTAGTATGCTATGTAAAGAGATCGAAGACTTACTGTCTGATGAAGCTGAAGTGATGAAACAAACGGCAATCAAGCCCAATAAACGCTGTAGCCGCATAGAACTAACTAATACGTGATAAGAGCTGAACAGCTATTTTTCGGTCTTTGGAAAGGTTGCACAGTCCTGACGCCCAGTGCAAGCTCATCAATCCCCAACGTTTTCGCTGATAACGTTTTCTTTGTTTGATGCTTATTCTACAAACATTTGCCTTTTCGCTAAATACGTGATTATTTATGAGATACTAACTGTATTCTAGAATACCCGTGAATTCCTCCTTTCATTATGTGATCAGTTGAGCTAAAAACGCTAAAGAACGTGAGAACAAAGAACGTATTTGGAAAGAGCCACAATACTTTGATTTTAGCTCCGCCCATTCGTCGTGTGTCTCGCCTTTGAAAGTGAAACTCTGCCAAGCTCACATGCACCCCGTGTATCTGCCCCAGACCCCGCTCATCTCAAATTTTGCCCGAACCTTCCAGGTGCTTCCTCAGGTAATGCCGAAATTCGTGACGTGACAAAACGACAGACCTACGCAAGTGTCCAAATTAACTATTTTGGTGCAGAAGGATCGAATGTCGCGTCGCGGCGAGGGGACGCGGTGCGCGACGGAATGTAGCAGAATGCAGCGGCAGATAAGAAATTAAGGAACAAAATAACTCATAGAAGAACCATGCCTAAAATAATGATTGCATATCGATTGAGCTGTAAGAACGAAGCTAGAGCTGTAATGACGGCGAAGCAAAAGATCCGCGACAGCCGCGTGCGGCGATTACGCTAAACCGATCTTACTGCCCGTCTCCCGAAATTAAAAATTTTAAAAGCCGATCCCCGTGTTTTCTTCGCCACCATCTATCAGTCTTCGCTTCTATTATTCGTCTCGAACTGGATACCCCAAAATTATCGTGAGAAGTGCCTTTAACGTACTTGAATGTTCGTTCATGATCCGAAAATACTAGTCCACTTCAATTTTTTTCGACTTTATAATGGAGCAGTCATCGATATACGTATATGCAGTACATTAAAGGATGACGTTCTGAAACCAGCTCTCTGAACCCATCCGTAAAGCAAAGATTGAAAACCAGTTCTAGCCTTCGACCCATAGCAAGGCCTCTGTTTTGGCAAAAGTGTTTCCTTGCCCATCTGAAGATGTTACAGATTCGGCGTTCCTTGAACAATGTCATCATATGCATTTTACTAGAGATCATCAAAGTGAATGCATTGACTCCTATGTTTTTGCTGGAAACGAATCGTGGGAGCCCGCTGGTGGTTCTGCACTTCAAAGGTTGGAGGAACTTCAAAGATTATTGGGTGGAGAGGGTATCGAACACTTGTTGGATATTGAGGAGATAATCCTGTGTTGTGTTTAGACGTCTGGAGACGAAGATTTGGCCGGATTCTTCGGCCTTTGAATAAAAACCGTCTCCCCATGAACTCCGCACGGCACAGGACTAATGTCAACGTAGAAGATCAACATATAGGGGTAAAAGATCCCCTCTGGAAGAATGCGAGACGCCACCTTTAAAGCACACCAGTGACAGAGCAAAGCAATAGTGAGAACACTACATGATTCACCTTTTGCTAATGGGAAAAAAACACTTTCGGTTTTATCAACTAGTTTTGGGGAATGCGCACCGCAGCCGGCTCTGTTTCTGAGTCGTGATGGCGTTTTTGAATGCTCATGTGTTCCAAACAACGCCTGAGGTAGCCAATCGATGTAGAAGTCAGCGCTTACATCCTCCCGGACGAGTCTGGTACCAATTAACCGATCCCAGAGGGCTTGGCAGGTTTGGTTGGCCCAGGCTATTACCCCTGAATTCATTCTCCGGTCTATGCATGTGCGCCACTTGACAGTACACCATCTCCACCCACTTATTGTTAGCACTCATATTGCCTGTTACCATCAGTGCATGCCTATGCAAAACTGGGACTTGAGAGCAGTTTAAGAGAAAAATCTTCATGAATCCGAAAAGCAAAAACTCCAGTCAGCTATACAGCCAACTCGTCCAATGCCTCCCGACGTCCACTGTTTTTGGCTGACTCCCTTCACTGATCTCCGTACTGCTCCTCCCTGCGCTGCCTATCGCATTTTCATTTCCCTTGATTTACAAGCTTTGCAAAGAAGGTTCGAGAAGACTTCATTATTTTGTTTAGAGTGAGGCCGCTTGGGGAAACAAATGGCGAAGAACCTTTTTATTCCTCCACATCATTCTCCCGTAGCCGAGCGATTATAAAGTTCGTTTCGTTCTGGAGATTATCAGTGAACACTCATTTGGCAATCTTATCAATCTCGATTTCAGCAGAGCTCGCTGTTGCCGCTCAACAGCACTTCATAGAATTGCTTTAGATCATCAATGCAACTTTGAAATCCAGTCAACTTGACATCAAAGCGAAATGGAATGCGCTGCGCGACTCATAATTCTAATTGTAAGTCAAGGATTTGGGAAGGGAGGAGTAATCGAAACAAAGTGTTTTCATCTTCTTAGATATCCGCCGTCAGCCAAAAGTACCGAAGTGATGTCGATTTCGAAGGGCAATCATTTCATAGCAACTGCATTACATACTTCGTTACCTACCCCAAGTACAAGTACTTCTCAGTAAGGAATTTCTGGAAATACATGCTCTGAATCGCTTCTGTTTTTGGCCACACCTTCCAACTCCGGGGCCGATTAATTGGTACCACACTCGTCTGGGAGGATAAAAAGACTGACTTGTAGATCGGCTAGCCATCGCAAGTCATTGTATAGGCCACATGCCACAACGATTCTGAATGGAAGTCGAAGCGAGGAGGTATTTCTCAGACGGGCACGATTAACGTCCCAAAACTTTATCCTTATCTTTTAACCCTCAATTAACAAAGGTAAGTAACTTCTTTATCAATTACGACTAATAATGATTATAATAAAAACAGCAGATAATTGATGTCACACTTGTATTTACCGATTGAGACCAACCGTATCAGTTATAATAATCGAAACTGCGATGATACTCCATCGCCATAACCCGGTGTGGGATATTTAATCCTGAAATTGCTTATGAAAATAAGGAAACTGACACTATTGTGGTCTGGCAGGTATTAGATACAAATTCAATCGCTCCCAAATATTGTGTTGAGATGAAACACCAAGCATGTCTTTGGATATTTCAGAATTCAACGACGTGCTTTGTTTCAATCGGCACTGACCGACCGACGGCGGCCACTCGTGACAATGCAGGACAGACTGTGTTCGAGGCCGCGTGAGAAGTATCGATCGGCGTCCAGCGTTGTCAACAAGTGACCACCGACGCCGTCGGTCGGTCGGTAGGTTGGTCGTTGAAACAAAGCACGTCGTTGAAAGAGACAATCTGTAAGTAACCACTGAATGAGCCACTGCCTCTCTTATTGAACACTCGAGGTTCAGTGAGTCATTTCAATTGGCTTCTAGCATATGAGCAACCACAGATCAACTTTCTATGCGCGTTGTGAAATGATCTCAGCAAGGATGGGTATGTGCCTAGCAAGAGTGAAGGCTATTTCGAAGAAAGGGATATAAAGGCAATGCCAAAAAGAAGCCGAGGCAAAGTGATGATGATCCGATGATGTCCGCTGTGTTTTGCCACATCGTCACTTTTCAAATGGTAGCGAAGTACCGGATATTTTGATTCGAGTATAAAGACAACACAGTATAGTTGGACAACTAATCCTAATCGTTGCGCGTTTCACAATATTCAGTACTTGAAGTACTTCATGAACAAAGATTAGTGAATCCCAACGCAACAAGTATCTCCGACCAGAATCCCGAAAATCACAACTCCGTTCAGCCTTCAATGATTTATTAATTTTGAGCGAATTAAAGTAGGAATTGGTTAGAAAATAACTAGGAAGTGAGTCTTGGAATAATTATGTGATCACTTTTCTTCATTTAGCATCGGTATATAGTCAGCATAAGATGAAAGAGGATTTGAGAAACAGTTTACAAATTGAAACATTTCTAAAGGAACACTACCAAAGGAATTTGCGAATTGAATCTCGTCCTCTTTCATCCTTAGCTGTGTAGTGGCTAAAGCTCGTTAAAACATAGTAAACTAAAATTGCCATTAAAACAAAAAATAAAACAAGTCGGTACGAGCACATAAAACTGCGCCATTGAATTAACACCGAGGAGATACTGACATACCAGATGGATGATAAAACCGAATATTTCAAGCACGAGGAATAAGTAAGGCGGCTATGCTGCGCGGATCAGCTTATGACCGTTGCATACAAGGCAAAGGAATTATGATGGTACTCGCAAACTTATGCATAGTCGGCACAATATATTCCCTACAACGTATTTGATACCCATTTAGTGGGAGCTAAGCACACACTAATACAAAGTGACAAAGCAAAACCGTGTTGATATGCAAATATGGCAAGACAAGAAGATTCTTCTCAACGAACGAAATAAATGTACTGATTTAGATACCAGAGAAAGCGTAGTACTTCAAGTGTCACCTATACATGAAACATTACCATACTAAGACAAAGGAAAAATAGGGCAGAAACAAGACAAGTCATAAGAATTTGCTGATTAATACCCTGGGGGTTCAAAAAGTCTTCAAATGATGAGGAAATTAGTGTACGTTAAACGAACGCGAAATTGTCGAGAACGACTTGTAAAGCCTACATGGTTGATAAAACCAAAAGGCACACTTCTTCGAACATACTATTAAAACGTAGTGGAGAAAAAAAAGTAAATAAAACCAAAATAGGACTTAAAAAAGCTTGCTAACTGGAAATTTCCGATTAGGTTACTTCTCAGAGTGAAGACATGGATCGTGTTCAGGACAGACAACATTCAGATTCCTCATAGAGAAAGATAACGCATCTTCGTCGAGGTTATCAAAGGTGCTGTCATCGAGATGAGAATCCTGAAGAAAATAGTCGTATCCACTTGTTCAAAAGCTAATTTTGAATAACACGAAAAGTATTATTTTTGAAAAGTCTCAAGCCCGGAGAAGGGACTCGGATTATAATCAGTAAAATCCAGAATATCATACCAAAAGATCTCTCACGGCATCGAAGTCTTCTGACAGCGGAGGAGTCGTTGCTAATTCGGACGCAAAAAGATCATCCGTGAACTGCGGGTCCCCTTCTGCAGGCCTATCGCCAACAGGACCAATAACCTAATACAAAGGAAGCATAAAGACAAAGCAAAGCGGTTTATGTGGGGGAGCGTATTACCTCTGCTTCGTTATAGATCTGATATTGATCTCCTTGTGTGTACCACGTAGGTTCACAGTGTCCATGAGCTTGAACCAGGACTCCAGCATTCAAGATATCCATTCCAGGCCGATAAAGAAGACGCTCTGGAGGAGGTAGTCGCGCATTTATCTAAATATTAGANTTTGATTAGAGAAACAGAACCATCAAATCAAAAGTGAAAAGATCTCACCATGATTCCCTCATCCTCAATCTGTTGTTCGAACTCCATGTGGCGATGAGCGAACTCGTACTCGGAACGGGGGCCAGTTGAGAGAACAAGTTCGGAAACTGGTGAGTTACGTTCATCCGAAAGATGCTCCATAGGCATAAAACTCTGTTCGAAGTGGGGCACCAAAGGTGGTGAAACTCTCGGAACTGCAAGCAAACCACAGTTACCTGAGGAACTCGAGAAAGTTGGCATGTCTTACCGTATTCATCCTGTATATCTGTTGGTGAATAATGACCATAATCTGGATTGAGCGCACCCGGTTCCAAATTGTTAGCATCAGAAAGCACCTGTGACTCAATACTAGTGTAGGAGCCGTGAACATAATGAGCCTGCGAGCTTAGCGATGAGCTACAATCGCTTGCCACCGAACAGCTTCCGATTGGAATTCCGACGAAAGGCTGAGCACGCTCCTACAGGAGTCATCATTAAAAGGTGAACCGTCGTATAAGAGAAGAACAATCAAATTACCGCCTCCGATGTTAGCATTCCTCCTGAATTTGTATCTGCCAATGCATCATCATCAATTCCCAAAGCTGCGTCGCTTAGAAAAACAGAGCTTTGCTCATCGAAAAGCTGATCGCCATCTAACATTGGCACTACAAATGACACTATTCGAAAACGTAAATAAGTAAAACCTTGATGTTGTAATGCAAAATGGAAGAGAGAAAACGCGTACACTTATATTTCTCATAAACACATGGAAATCGTGTGGGAAGATGATATGGATGACGAGTTGCCACTAGAACACCGCCCTCTTCATTAGCGGACGGGAGGAGGTCATCGATTCTACCCAGAGGCGATGGATCGTCAAGATTTTCATCGTCGTCCTCGCCGTAAGTCTGAAAGGAACCAACTGCGCGTTAAACAACATCCCATTTATGACGTCACATGGGAAGAACCCAACATTGAACTGACCTCAGTGTTTGTCAAGCTAGAACCCGTTCCTGAAAGACTTCCATCGGAAAAATCGCGTACTGATGACCAGTCGTCTTTCGGTTCATGATATTTCTTCAATGGATCTGTATCCCAGCGAGCGTTTCTGGCCATTTCACCGACTACGAAATCTTGACCCAAACTCGAATCACTCGAGGTGAATGACTGAAGAGTAAGCGAATCTGATTCAAATGAAGCAAAAGCATTGTAGACAACCCAAGCATCGATCAACTCCTTACATTTAGTCGCGTTTTCCTTTGAGCACTTCTTAGCAAAGCATCCAGATTAGAAAACTTGTAGCCAGACAACATTTCCAAACGGAAATCTGGATGATTATAGGCCTCGCAAAACACTAAAAGTTTTTTTTAGAGTTAACACATGTTCCCAATTGGAAAGATCATTGAGCTTACGGCGTTCTTGATCCGCGAAGTTACTCGCTTTGCTCACACCATTGAGGATTCTGTCGATGAAGAAGCTGCTTGACTGTTGATGACTGCTGGACGAAGTAGTAGATGCGCCAGTACCACCAGAATGACATGAAACTGAGGACCCGGCAGGACTCAAAGCTGCTCCCGAACCGGATCCCGATCCAGAAGCAGCTGAGCTGTGTGATACAGCGCGAGTACCATCATCACAACTACCATGATGAACTGAATTATTAATAAGTGAGTGTTCGAGCCCAAGAGCACAATATTCGACATTGTACTTACATATCTTAAAGTCTTCTGAGCATGGAGAAACATTGGATGGCTCTTTCGTATTATCAGCGGAGTCATCTTGTTCAATACCTGACACCGTCTCAGTATCCATGCCAGATTCCGCACTAGTATTTCCATTTTGAGACATCTGCTGCAAAATGATCGTATCAAAAAGGTATCAGGCAGGTGCTGTTAAAAGTTACCCAACCTGTTGCATTGCAGCAAAATGCAAAATATCAAGAGGCATTGTATGCAACATGTGGCTGTTTTTCTGCAATAAAAAGCTCATACTAAACAAATGATTGCAAGGCATGGTTTATATACACCAACCTTTCGTCTTCCACCAGTGTTGTGGGGTCGATTTTTCTTTGCCCGTTCATAGGCCTCGTCTCCATGTACAGTTTTGATATGTTTTCTCAACGATGATGGGTCTGTGTAACTTTTACCGCACTGCGCAACCATACAAATGTAGGGTTTCTGTAAATGAACGGCTTAAAGTGGCCAAATAACAAAACCTTATCCATTGATTAGGAATTGAACAACTGACCAGATTAGAATGAGTTCTGTTCTGATGCTTGGCGCGATCACTTGCATTGCTGAACGCCTTCGGACAACCAGGAATCTCACAAGCATACGGTCTGAAATCAAAGCAGTGCAAGTACAGGCAAGGGAGAAATAAAGGTGTTGATTACTTCTCTCCAGTATGCGTCCTCATATGCGTTTTGAGATTCTCAAGACGACTGTACGATTTGTTGCATCCCGGATGCTGTAAACAGTATATTAGCTGCAACCTCTACGGCGGGATAAGACAGACAGATCCACTTAAGAAAACAATTCCATCCAACGGACCGTGCATTCATTTGGCTTCTCTCCAGTGTGTTTGCGAACATGAACAACAAGCATATACAGAGCTCGGAAAGGTTCTGTACGTTCACATCCTCGCCATTTGCAAACCCAATCTCGGTTCGAAATATTAACATGACATTCAGCCACGTGATCGACCAAAGCCTGGAACATATGATTAACGACTACTATCCACTCTTGGCAGGATGAAAGTTGATGAAAAGTACCTTCTGAGTAGAGAAGACGAGTTGGCATTCATCCCACTCGCATTTTTCTTCAGTTAGTGTTTCAACGTCGACAACCTCGTTAGAGACGTTAGCGTCATCGGAATCTTTTCTCAGAACACCACTTAGAGTTAACCTATAAGTTATGGAGGAGAAATCTTGATGGGTAGTAAACAAAATCATCGAACTAAACGGACAGTACGAGATTTCTCTCGTGGAATGCTCTCGATGCAACACTATTTTTCAATATCTTCAACCCTTACGCTTCAGAACAAAAAGCGTTAAAGACGACGAAAAGTTAACCATGAGTGATAAAAATAGTTATGAATGAACATAAAAAATAAAAAGGAAAGACCAATATGCTAATGAAGGCCATAAAACGTACTTGTTCTTAGAGGAAGAAGATCCGCTATCAAATCGCTTATAGGAGCCTGGCGGTCGACCGATTTTCTTGCCCTGTAATTCAGATAGAAGTCATCGGAACAGCCATGATATCTTTAGAACATCAATTTTGACAAGCATACCGATGGGTAGTATCTAGCCGTGGGCCGACCAGGTCGTTGCATGGGGCCTTGCGAATCCATGTTCATCATGAGCTGCGGGTTCACAGATGGAAGCTGTCCTTCTCCGTACTTCGCTGCCGATGATCCCGGTCCAAACTGCATGCTTTGTGCACCAACCGTGTGAGTTGCATCACCTAGCATTCCTGATGGGCCAGCAATAGAGCTGCAAGGCATCATTGCCTGTTGCACCGGTCCGGAAACAGAAGCCATCACTGCCTGAGTTGCTGGATGGATGGACGGCAAGGGCATGCACGAGAACCGCCGTTGGGAGGCAACTAAAAAAAGTGATGTAGCATAATTTTCCAAATATTTAGAAAAGAAGAATGAGGTGTTAAAATCATTCTCATTTAATGGAAAACCCTTACTGAGTTTGAGCACTCACTGATACTTATATTATTGCTAAGCATGGAACCCCGAGTAAAGGGAACTATTCGAACATAGACTAAAAAACTATCAAACTCACCAGATTCACCAGGTGCTTCACTCTTAACTGATGGTGCCGACGTAAGGGAAGCTTTCTTGAGCAAAATATCTGTTGGAGACATTTGGGCGAGCGGAAAAAGATCGCTGCTCGCTTGCGACTGATACGGATTTGGTGATAAATTACCATAAGGCACGTTAGTCAAGCAAGGTGAGCGGTTCAGTAGAGTGTTCAGGTTATTGCTACCCGATGAGGACTGATTACCGCCAAGCATTTGAGATACTGACGATGAAACAAGCTGATGAACGAATGCCTCCACATTTCTCCTGATATCGATAATGGGAGCAGAGAAATTTGGTGGTGTTGGAGAAGGCACCGGTGATATCTGGCTATTCGCATTCACTGTAGGACTCACAAGTGGAGGAGTGAGTAGCCAAGGAAAAATATTACTGGCTAAAGCGGGAATCACTGGGAGCAGAGATGCACCCGCAAGTAAGGGGGAAACATTCGATGATCCAGATGAACTGAGTAGTTTTGACAGAAAATCGTTAGCAGCAGATACCACTGGTAACTCAGAAGACGACGACGCATCCGTAGAATCCTCAGGATCTTCCATCTTTTGAGTGTCAATCTTCTGTTCTTCATTCGTTAAGCTATCCACTGGCTCATTTTCAGTCATGTTAAACTGCTATTAGAATGATTCTTAGATTATATAGAGGTTCAATTTCGAAGAAAAAAACAATCGGAAACGGCATGGTTTTCAACATTTTGAATATATGAGGTTATGTTTGCCTTTTTTTTCAAAGCACAAGTTTACGTGAATGAAAAAAAAACCAATATTCAGACTTTTTCTGCCCCTGTTTAAGTAATGCTTTGCTGAACTTCCCTACAGATAAGGTGGAATAGTCGAACTACAGATGTAGGTAAGGCAAGCATAAAACCCCATTCAACCTGAAAACTAGTTAATGTCCCATCTACCAAATTCAATGCTAAAATTAATGAGAAAACGGGCACAATACTATTTTACGCACCACTTTTCATGTATAACGAATATCAAAACATATGAACCTAAGAACAGAGACGCATTTTGATTCTTTGAAGATAGAAAAATAAAGTAAAAGAAAGATTTTACTTACTGGGACGCAAATTGGTTTGAACCGAGGACGATTCGTCATGCAGCTTTTTACTACACGATGTTGCAGAAATGTTCGTGGAGTGCAGGCAGAGACAGGCAGAAGAGGGGGAGTGGGGAGGACAAGCAGCTGGGAGACCGAGAGACTGGGCGCAGAGAATGCAGAGTGGGTTCCAACGGTCATCAGCGCCGGCCGCCGACGCATACACGGCTCATCAGAAATGACATGATGACAGCGATGGCCCAAATGTAGTACGCTCAATGCCCCGGTCTAGCCCTAAAGGACCATACCTATGGTGGGGAAAACTGCTTCGATATCCTCAATGATTCACCTCGGCAGCAGAACGCCTACTCAGCTTTATAACAGAGTGGATGGGTAGGTTTAAAGATGTAAAAAAAANAAAAAAAACTAGTGCAATGAGACCCTGATTCCAAACCCGAGAATTTTATTTCTCTTACAAGAATGGTGAAACACAGGAATACCAGCCTCTATCTTATCCTGCTATAGACACTCCTCATATAAAAGTTACCTATTGTTTGAAAGTACCGATGGTGCCTAGATCTAGAAAAAATGAAGGAACACTGTAGCATATAGGTGCTGGAGCTATGTGGGGCTAAGCCGCTACCTTGAAGAACATGATTCAAAGCGATTGAATGACCTTTAGGATCTCCAAACTCGCTGGGCCAAAGTAACAAGGAGAGTTCCCTGCCGTCCCAGTAGTACTAGGATAGGTGGTGGCCTCTTTGGGAGTACTCTTTTGAGCTGAAAGTAAACTAAAAGGACTTTTGACCGCCACCGTTCCAGCCAATGGGTGTCAGAAATTCATGCCAGCAGGAAATTGCTTTGCTCCTGAGCTCTCATCTGACACTTTGGCAGCAGTAGATGGCATGCTTTCAAGACGGAGCGGAATTCATGCCTCCACTTAAACAGCTAAAGAGAATGTGCGGTCCCGTATGGTCCCAACTGAGGAAGTTCCCAGTCACAACCCATTATAAAATTTCTTGATTCGGTCTGAAATATATGAAGCTGAGATGAGGCAGGACGAATTGGCTCCGCCACTTAAGCAGATTTTGGGCATCGAACTCCACTATGACAACTACGTGTACAGGTATACCGAGACTTGCATCCGTGAGGCTCTAACCAAATGGAAGCACATAAGGAACAAAGAACCAACGCCTTCTCGTACATAGGCTGGTCTCCCTGAACACACGTTTTACTGGTCATATACCATTCAAAAGCCAGCACTAGGAGGTCCGGTATCTTCTTCCCGAAAATGACGTCGCGTCGGCCGCACCCGATCGCGCGATGTCGCGCGCTATGAAAGGAAAGGTTTGGATTCCCAGTGCAAGTATAGAATAGCCGTCGCGTGACCAATGCCGCTTGCTGTGGTTCCGGCACCCCCACGTCAGGTGAAGTCGTGAGCGTGGGAGCATCTCAAGATAGAACTGATCGACTCCCGAAACACTATCCTCCTATTTGAATGCTCCGAGATATTTCGTTTTTATATCATACAGAGTTGAAAACACGGGCACTCAAGACAAGGAGGCACACATGGCCCTGATCTGAACTGATGGAGAGAATTCTTCCAAAGCTTCCAGATGTGTCTTTCCGAGGGTTTCATATCTCTCCTTATGCTTACTGCAACTACGGTTTTTAGACATTCGTAGATTGGAATTTCTTGACACGAAAGCACCACGGGGAATTTCGCTATCCTTGGGAATACACACAACTGGAACTGGAGTAAAACAAACTTAACACCTTAGACTAGAAAATTTGTATCAAAATTAAAGCCGGTAGGAGTGCACATAGGGGACTTCCAATATCCGAAAGAAAAAAAAAACCCTTGGGAAAGTGGTTCTTTGCTTCAAAAGTTTCGCTCACGTTCATAGCATTCCCTCCCACAGCTTTATCAAGGACAACTCGATGGCAAGACCTCCAACGGACACAACCTGAGCCTCCTTATCACCTTCGATTTCCGCTACTGTTACACTTCCGACAGCTACATCAATTCATGCCTGTAAAGGCTGCACATAGACTGCGCACGAGCAATCTAATCCCGTTATAGAATAAAACCCAAACGTTTGGAAGAGACTGGTGTGTTGGCCTACCGGTACACATGGAAAACATTGTGAGGCGTAACTCGATGAGAGATAACACAGAAATTCATACGGTGAAAAAGATCAGAGAAATTACTCATAGACTGCCTAGAACGGGTTATGCTCGAGCCAACCGACTCTCCCTACTTAGCCGTTCTCCCCAGTTGGTATAATGAGTAGGTTACAAAAGATGGAAGCAAGTTAAGAAAGTTGAAGCGAAAATTGATTAAACACACCCTATAGAGTGAACGAGCCCGTCAGGTTGCCCGTGCAATGACACCCCGTTCAAACTTCAGGCGCGGACTGGCGGTCATTCTTCTCTAGTCGCCTGCCCTCTCTCGTGAGGCTAAATAAAACGGCGGCGCGCTCAAACTTACCAGAAGTCCAGAATTTGAACTGGATGCGCAGTGCATTTTAGTAAAACTGATAATTGTCGACTGTTCATTCCTCAATCTTTGTACAAGGGGTGGGCGGTGATTGGTCCCGTTTTACCTTCTCTTCCACTTAGGATGGTGTGCGAGCATTCAAAGCACTTGTTCCGTAATAAAAAAGAAGGGAAAGCCTGCTCCACAAGCTTGCAGTGGTACTTGCAAATGCTTTTAGAGAAAAGACTAGAGATTTTAAGTAAGCTTTGCGAGTGGAGAAGCACCTCAGTGGGTGAGCATTAGTACAAAAAGCTGTGAGGGGTAAGATTTGAACATTCACTCGACCACTGATTCATCCCCATTCAAGAGTATAAACGGTAGCGTGCCTAGTCTCTTTTCCCACGACCATTAATGCCGAGAGAGCATTCACCCACTCGGGTGCTCCAACGTCTG